GGTGTATACACACAATGAAACATTATTCAGCCTTAAAAAAGGAAGAAAATTCTGCAATACGCAACAATGAATCTTGTTAACATTATGCTGAGTGAAATAAGCCAGTCACAGAAAGCTAAATACTGTATGATTTCACTGATAAGAGGTATCTAAAATAGTCAAATTCACAGAATCAAAGAGCGGAATGGTGGTTGCCAAGAGGTGAGGGGAGTGAAAAATGGAAAGTTGCTAATCAACAGGCATAAAGTTTGCTATATACGATGAGCAAACTGGTGATCTGTTGTACAATGCTGTACCTATAGTTAACTATACTGTATTGTACACTTAAAAATCTGTTAAGAGGGTGGATCTCATGTTAAAGGTTCTTAGCACAATAAAATAAAATTTAAAAATAAATAAATAACTTTAGAGACCTCAAAACCCCAAACTACCTTGATGCATCAACTATACTTAAGTCAAACTCTAAAAAATAGCAAACAAGAGTTTTTCTTCTTTTTTAAAGGATTAAAAGAATAGTATCACAGTCTGGATTTGGTTCCCTTTCCTTAGAACCAATTTCGACTTGACACCCATCCATGGCAACTATGTTTATTCCCTAACAATTCAGAGCAGTAACAAAGAAGGGCTCTTAATCCTAGGACAGAACAACAGGAAATACAAGTATTACTTCTCCATACGAGACACTTCTCTGAACCAAAATAAAAGAACAAATCTATTGCATTTCTATTTCATCTGGCTGTTTGAAGAAGAGGTGAGCAGACATTCCTGGTATATTAAAAGGGGTCTTTGGATTTTAGAGAATTTGCAAGCCTCTGTCCTTCTCATCAGTTCCTCTACCTGCAAACGAGGGCCGGGGTGAGATAGAGGAAATGAATGGGAAGAATGTATGGCACAGAGGTTATGAACAACAGCTTTGAAACTAGGCATACGAGTTCAAATGTTGCCTCCTTTGCTTATGAATGCAATCATCTTGAGCAGTTATTTGCTAAACCTTAGCTTCTTTACCTATAAAATGAGATAATAGCCTCTACCTCCTGGGATTATTGTAAAGATTAAATAAAATTGTGCTTGTAATGTATTTAGTGTGTGCTTGGTAGTTGTTCATATAAAGGAAATACAATATCTGTTCCCTCAGGTGATTCAAATTTCTTACCACTACTTATTACGGAAAAATATATTAATTCTACTTTCAACAACAAACATTTGATTTTCTAGCACTAAGTGGGAAAGAGATCTTACTTTGAGGAAGAATGGATAGAGGAAAAAAATATGTAATAAAGCAAGTATAGTAAAGTCTGAACTGCAGAATCTAGGAGGTGAATATATAGGTGCTCACTGCAAAGTTCTTTACTTTTTTGTATGTTCTAAATTTTTCATAATAAAATGTTAAGAAAAAATTCAATGCAGAACAAAAAATAGATTATAGAAGTCAAACTGAATTCATAACAGAACAAAAAACCAATTATAGCTAGATCCTTAAGCAAAAACACTTTGAAAAATACCAGAGCTGTCCTGATTCCTGGTTGAGACTAAGACTACGAGATGAACCATGTCATTTGCATGCACATAACAACTATCCCACTGCTGGAACCTGCATGTCTGGGTCAGAACAGTAGCAGGTGGTTGGAGAGACACTTGGATCTAAGAAAGACATTTATCGCACAGATATTCCATTCCCAGGTCACTGATTTCCCAATGAAGAGGCTGAAAATAGAATGATATGCTTAATTCGAAGAGTCACAGCATAAGATCAACTGACATCACTTAATTAAAGTGAAAAAGATGTCCTATCTTATCTCCTCCCTCTCTTTCTTCCTGGATCCTTTGTCATTTTATACATAGATTCCCACATAGTTTTTCTCTTGATTATTTATTTTTAAATAAACTTCTGTATAAAATCAAGACCAGGAACTCAATCATTAATTTGTTACACATTAAGTCATCAAGTCACCTGCCCCTGGAAGCAGACACCCAGAAAATGACATACAGATATCAGCTTCATTTCCCAACATCATAGCTCTCCAACTACCATTCTATAAAGGCCATATAAAACTATGCTGAAAAGTGCCAGAGGATTAGGAAATCCTATGAGAACATAAGGTATACAAGTTAAGTTAAAATAAGTAGGGCAGGCATGGACTACAATCTACTTTTAGCGATGTAATTCAGAAGAAATGACATCCAAAAAGCCTTATGTATAGAGAATGTCTTCATGGGTTGGTGACTAGAAAGTTGGCTTAATCTTTATTATCATTATTTTTCATTTACAAAAATAAATTAATATCCTACCGAGGTAATAACTTTGTGTTGTTTTGAGATTTTGACAAAAAAAGTAAGAGTTATAAACATTTGGCTTCTAAGAAATGTACAGCCACAGATACTTCTTTAATCTCAATGTTGTTTTCATCTCATTTACTAAAGAAGAGTGGATCATGCTGTTCAGCACTAAAGCAAATTGTAATCCAGACCTCCTAATATTTATTTCTCTTTTCCTTTATCCTAGTCAAAGACTCTTATCTACACCACTTTGCCTCCTGCTGTGGAAATGGTTTATATTATTAAAGGTTTGCTCTCGAGAGGAAAAAAAAATGGTACTTAACCACTAACTGTAGTAGTAAAATGTCAGTAATGTGATATTGTTAGTACTCACACACGGTCTATTTCACATAAATTGCAATAGAGATGAACTACACTTTAATAATATGATCTCAGGGCTCCAGGGCCACTACTGGGCCAGCTATTAGCAGTCATGAAGCTGGCATGGGAGTTTGCATGGTGATAATAACCACCATGATTCAGTGAGCACCTACCATCTCCAGACACTGTGTTATAGATATTACTTATGTCACGTCTTGTTCTCACAACCATCTGCAAAGGTAAATATTATTACCTTCATTTTATAGGTGAGAAAAGCCTGGCTCAGGAAGGTGAAATAACCTTATTGAGAAGATTATATCTATTTTAACACCATGGTAGTTAGTAATATTTTAGTCAAATTGTTTACATTCCTAAGCCCCAATTTCCTTCATCTATAGAACAGACTACCTGCCCTTCAAAGCTATTGTGAGAGTGTAGTGAACTAATGCAGGTAAGGAACATAAGGCAATGTCCCATATCTAGTGTGTGAGATGACAACTGTCACATTTTTGTGTGTCCCTGGAAATTTTTATGTCTTTAAAAATCCCAAGAGTTCTTGCATTTTTAAAAAACAATCTGTATTTAAAATAGTCTAATACTTATCTCTCAGGCTACTATGCATTGAGATATTCAGAAGTTTTTTTTCTGATGACAAGAGGGCAGCAGGAAAGAAGACAGACATAATGAAATACTGATCTTTATTTTTGAGTTATCAGTCTTCTCTATTATCTTGTTCCTCAGTTTTTCTCAGTGCCATTGTATTCTGCATATAGCTATTCTGTTCATACTCTGAGCAATATGAACTATGTATTTATGTATCTTTCTAAGGCAAAAAGTTATTAAAGTTCTACCAATAAGTTTCAAGTACAAAATATCCCAGATTTAAATGCTATATCCATATTAGTCATGTGGGTAACATACACCTTTCTTGGTTTTCAGAAATATAGTCATGTATAAATCATTATCTCAGCTTCATTTTGTTATAATGACCCATCAAATTTATATTCCTCATCCATCATGCAAATGAGTAAATGAAATTTTCAGCTGACTTATAAATATGCCAAAACTTTTCTTGCCACACAACTGTTGTCTCCTATCGCTCTCAGTTCTAAATGATATAAAAATAGCTTTTACTGTATCTCTTTAATCGACAAAAGCCATTTAACTTTCATTCTTTCTATCTGAATAACTTTTGCATTGTTATGAAACTAAGTTATAGAGTAATGGTATGTCTTCTTTGGCATACTTCTCCTGAATAGTTCTTTCCCAGTCATTGATTCATTCAACACAATATTACTTAGCATCTACTATATGCCAGGCAGGCATTGTGCCAGGCCGAGATAAAGCACTGAGCAAAATCAGACTCAGCATGTAATCTGAAGGATGTTATAGTCTCATGGAAGAAACAGGAATGCACTGAATAATCACAAGATCCCTGCAACTGAAACAAGTGCCTGAAAGGGGGTGTGTTCCACATGCCTATAATAGGAGGATGTGACCTAGGTTGGAGGTCCAGTGGGCTTTCCCAAGAAAGCAATATTTGAGCTGAGGTATGTTTAAGGATGATTAAGGGTCAATGAAGTGAAGATGCAAGAAGGGCATTCTAGATAGAGGTGAAAGAAGGAGCATGCATAGGTGAAGAAGGCAGTGTAGCTGCAGCATAGAGACTAAAGAAAAGCTTGGCAGATGCTAGAGGAGCAGGTGAGGGATGACACAGACCCCTGTGGTCTTGCTGAAGAGTCTCATTTTTATCCAAAGAATAATGAGAAGGGACTGAAGGATAATGACATGATCTTATGTGTATTTTAAATGTAGTGGGGAGACTAGATTACAGTAATTTATATTGGAAGGAGATAAACCATTTAGGAGACTGCTGCAGTGATCAAAAAAAAAAAAAAAAAAAGATTATGGCAGTTTGGACCAGACCAGTGACAGTGAAAATTAATATTCAGAAGATACATGTTGACATGACTAGGTGTCAGTACTGTGCTATGAGCTGTACATGTATTAACTCTTGGAATTCTCATAAACAACATGTGGGAAAGGTATTCTTTTGCACATTTTATAGATAAGACTATTGAGGCATGTAGAAATTTGTCCAAAATCCAGGTGATAAACAACAGAACCAGAACCCACACCCATGGTTATGCAACTTCAAAGCCAACTAAAAAAAGTACTGTGCAAAAACTAGAAATACAATAAGAAAAAGGAGTCTCTATAGTGAAGTCCCAAAACTGAAAACAAAAGCTTCCTGACCTATTTTATCAAGGTCCCAAGTGATAAGGCCTGAAGAAGAATGGTCTCAGGTTTCCCCTTAACAAAATGGATTCTCTTTTGAAGTTTTACATTTATAGAAGGCATACCTATTTCAACATATCGACTTGGCAAGTCCCTCATCTCACTGGCATGCCGTTCCTTCACTGAACATACCTAGAAAATAAATTCACAGGTTATTTTATTCATTCGATGGAAAATCCTCCATAACATTTCATTCAATATGATACTTTCATTAAATTAGCCATTTGGAACTGAAGATGGAGTACATACAACACAATCTATCCAATGATTTAAAGGATAAAAATTAACTTCAAGGACATATAGCAACCATTACTTATATTCTTCCACGTTATTCTTCAATAAAGTCTCATACAAGGGCAAAGAAAGAAAGGTAACTATAATATAGTTTTAACAGGTTTCCAATGACCCATAAAGCTCTGGCAGAAGTACATATCCAAAAATGCCCAATGGCTAATTTGGGCAACATTCATATTAGGTCTTGTGTTTCTGATTACATATTAGTAATTTATTTCACTGTTGCTAAATCCTACTTTGCAAAAGTGGCACATGCTCTTCTTTCAAGTATATTAATATAAATGTTATATAATTGAATCAGGGGTTGGTAAACTCCTGCCTGGCCCTGGCCTCTTTTTAAGGCCTATAAGTAAGACTAGTTTTTATACTCTTAAATCCTTGGAAAGAAGAGAGGGAGGGAAGGTGGGAGAAAGGGAAGGAAGGGAAGAAAAAAAATATTAAACAGAAACAGTATATAGCCTGCTAAGTCTAAAATATTTAATACCAACCCTTTACAGAAAAAGTCTGCCAATCCCTATTTTAAATTACATGTATATTGTTAGGATAGATATACACATATACATATTATACACACACACAGACATGTGTGTATTTATCACACACAAAACACACTACAAATATGTTAAGAATGGTTGTTTCAGAGTGATAAGACTATGGATATTTTCTATTTTCTTTGCTATATTTTCTAAAGTAAATACATTCTATTTAGTAATAAGGTACAACAAAAATTTACATAAGTTCAGCCACTGAGATAAGACTGAATCTAAAGTTAAATATTGATTGGGCTTAATTTTTGTCAGGGATCAGGTTTTTTCCCCTTTCTTTCGATTGTATTTATTGCGTTCTGTTATAGCTGCCATACCCTAAGTATAGCTACAATATAGAAAATTCTAAAATACAGAAAAACCTAAAGGAAAAAAAAACAAATATTATTCGCTGTCCCAAGAAAAGTGAACATCATTAACAATCTTTTTTAGCCTACTTTTATTAACCTAACAATTTACTACAACTAATTTAATATATTAAATGTTCTTCCACAATTCTTTAATGTCTTTATAGTATTTCATTACATGAGTGTTCTATAATTTTCTTAATCCCCTTTAAGACATTAGATTTTTACTTCTATCTCTAACACAAGCAATAGGGCAATAAATATAGTTAAATATAAAATGTTTAGACTTTTAGCCTTTTATTCCTAGAGGCAGAATTGGCCGACCAATGGGTATATACAATGTTACAAGGTTTTGTTTGGTTTGTTGAATATACACATCCAAACTGCTGTCCAGCCACACAGTGACTACATGAGAATACTCGCTTTCTCTAACATAGGGATTGAACCCGTGGCTGTGGAGATATAAGCATTTATTTAGAAGTGACCAACTATCTTCTCACTTGACTGCTTTCAGTCATTTGTTTCCTGTCCATCTCAGACAATTTCCTGTCCACTTCCTCCAATGTTCCCCAATTTCCTTCTCTTTTTGTTAGACTTTTGACATATGTTATTCACTCTTCTGTCCACACTTATTAGGGAAACTACTAAATTGTCTAACAGGCACTCTCCACAATGCCAAATGAATATTTTAATGTGCTAATAAAAGTACATGAGGAATAGTGTTTCAAAAGCTCTGAAGTATGATAACAGAACGTATGAGTGAGTGAGTGAGTGAGAGAGAGAGAGAGAGAGAGAGAGAGAGTGTGTGTGTGTGTGTGTGTGTGTGTGTGTGTGTGTGTGTGTGTGTAACATTAACTAGTACTCTAGAGTAACTTTAACTCTGGGCACCATTCCTATGTTAAGGGCTTTGTAAAATAGATATAGCTCTTTCCTTAGGAAGATTATGGTAGAATAGGGGAAACACAATTAAATAAGATATTTTACTCAAGTGTGATGAGAAAGTACAGAAATACAGAGCGAGAGAATCTACTGACAGGAGAGGAAAGCTTTCTGGAAGAAGTGAACTTGTGCCAAGGCTGGACTATGTCTCCGGCCCATGCCACAACCTCTTTGAAGACAAAGACACATGGCACTACTAGCAGTAGGGCGATGGCTCTACTCTACCCTTCTTAGTTCTATAGTCTGAGCTCTTATCCCAGCACCTGTCTCATAGATGGGTAGCAGCAGGTGTGTGAACAGCAAAGTGCTACTCTAAGCTCATGTCTTGCATAAAAGCAGATCAAGGAATTCAAGAGCCCTTTACACTGACAGGTAGATTCTCACCCATGAACACTAATTTGCGTCATTCAACTTTCTCCTCCACTTCTCCATTTCTATATCTAATAGGCAATTCAAGTGGACATATACTAAAACAACTCCTGACTTTTCTCTTCTAAGCATTCTTCATTGGCAGTCTTTCCCACTTCAGAAAAAGGCAGTTTCATTTTCCAGTTCCTCAAGTGAAAAAAAAAAAAAAAAAGACACTGTTGACTTCTCTCTTCTTATATGACACATCCAACCATGAACAAATATTATGGGGTCTACTTTCAAAATATATTCAGAATCTAACCATTCCTTATAAGTTGCACCAGCTGATCCAAGACACCATTTTAAACTGAGGTTATTGGAGTAGCCTCCTATCCAGTCTTCCCTCTTCCCTGCACCTTGGCTGTTTAACTCCATACAGCAACCAGAGCGATCCTTTTAAAATCCGAGTTAGACTACTGAACTAATTCCCTTTGCTGGCTTCCTAACTCACTCAGATTAAAATCCAAAGATTTCACAAAGGCCTGTGAACCCCTACATGATCTGTTCTACCACAACATACCCACATACATCTCTCCCTCTAGTGTCATCTTCTATCCCTCTCCTCCACACCTACTCTACCCACTCTGGAGGTGATAGTTTCCTTTATGTTCCACAAAGACACACCAATCACACTCTTGCCTCAAAGATTCCATCCTGGCTGCCCCCTCTGCTGATGTCCCCTCACCCACGTCTTCTCCCCAGATCTCTGCACAGATGACACACACTAGAGATGTCTTCCCTGGACTACCATATATTAAATGGCACCCACCTGACCCCTTTCCCCACTTTTCTGTTTAACTACTCCCCTTGATATTTATTACCATCAACATGGCATATTTACTTACTTGTCCATTTTCCCACTCTAGAATGTAAATTTACCCAGGAAAGGCATTCATCCATTTACTTATGTATCTGCAGCACTAGAACATTGCCTGGCACATTGCAGAAACTCGGTAAATATTGTTGCATGAATGAATGAATGAAAAATAAAATGGTTAGGTCTAACTGCACACTAAATTGCTCTCTGAGAGAAAAGCTTATGTCCTATCTTTTCTTACCTCCAGATTCACCACTGAGAAGTGCTCCACATCTTACTAATTGAGTCTAAAGAAGGGGAATCTCTAATAAAATGAAACATTCAACATGAAAAATCATGAGTTGGACTGTAATTTGGGCACAAAGTACTTTGGTTTCCCATGACTGCTGTAACAGATTACCACAAACTTGGGGGTTTAAAACGAAAGAAATTTATTCTTTCATAGTTTTGTAGGCTCAAAGTCTGAAATCAGTTTCACTGGGCCAAAACCAAGGTGTTGGTAGGACCGCACCCCTAGAAGCTCTAGAGGAGCATCTAGAATCCTTGCGTCCTCTAGCTTCTGGTAACTGCCAGCATTCCCAGGCTACACACTCTCTGCCTCCGTGGTCACATTGTCTCCACCCTTTGGTGGTAGCTCTCCCTCTTTAAGGACACATGTGACTGCATTTAAGGTCCACCCAGATAATGCAGGATAATCTCCCCTTTCAAGATCCTTATTTAATCACCTCTTTTGCCATATAAAGAAATGTTTACAGGTTGCAAGAATTAGGATTTGCTCTCTTTGGGGGCCATTATTCAGCCTAATAGAGAATGTATTTCTAGTAGCAATCAGTGAACATTTTACATGTCTCTACAGACTAATTTTTCCTGTCTTTCACCAAAAGAAAAGAAAATCACAACTTTAAAACAAAGAAAAAAGTCACTTGCTACATTTAAGAAATTTAAAAAATATCAAGAACGTTAAGTTTACTGGATGAGTCACCACGCACATGGGATAGGGATACTGGGGAATCACTTCTTTTAATACTAGACTTTGGGGCAAGACTTCTTTCCTGTTATCGTTACTGTGAAGCAGGCCATGTTCATTTAACAAGTGAAAACAATTAGCATATGTTTAATTAAGAGAGAAAAAAAATAGAAACTGAATTCTATCAGGGTAAGGGCCAAGAGACCCTAACCTCAAGTTAACAATGCTCGTTTTGGTAAGAAGCGTTGCATTAATAATTTGTATGCTTTCCTTTTCCAGAGAAAAGTACATTTTAAATAGCCATGTCTCTTTCATGGCTTTTTTTAGAATTTTATAACATAATAATGGCAGCTAATATTTATTAAACACAATATGTCAGATTCTATGTTAAGCTCCTAATACGAACTGTCTCATTTAAAACTCCACAAAACGTATGATGTGCGAATGATTTGTGCTCCCATTGTGCAGATGAGGAGAATAAGTCTTAGGGTCACATGGGAAGTAAATGGAGAAGCTGGAGTTGACTCCAAGTCTATGCAACTCCAAAGCCTAAGCTCTTCCAGAAATTAGATGACTGCCAGGTTACTTTCTCATATCACTTTTACTTCAGCTAATTTTTAGTTTATTTTGTTTAGGTTAATCTATATATTTTTAAACGGAAGCTTTTCTATGGCCATGCCACCCTAATCCCATCTGATCTCGGAAGCTAAGCAGGGTCGGGCCTGGTTAGTACTTGGATGGAAGACCACCTAGGAAGACCAGGTGCTGTAGGCGTAAAAAATAAAAAAAATTAGGATGGTAAGCTGACAAGGTCCTTGCAATCTGTGAGGTCAACCGAGGGTTGCCTTGCCTAAAAAATAAAAAATAAGTAAAATAAATAAATGTAAGCAAATAACTTTTGGCTCTGAAGTATCTAATACAAGACAAGCACTGTTATGCATGAAATAAACATGAATGATCTTTGGGCCTCTTTTGTAAAATAGCTAAATTTCATGTAGTCAGGCACATAAAGGGCAGATAGTTATATGCCACAAAATAGTCTCAAGTCTTATGGATAATAAGTCTTGGCCTCTACTCCATCATATTATTACCAAGCAAGCAGGATGGTTTCATTTTATCCTTCTTTTTCTGCCATTAACTCTAATGAAGAAGCAAAGGGTCAGAGCTAAGGGATACGGAAAGAACAACTGAGATAGGAAAACCAGATGAAGCAATAAAACCAACCACATGTTCTATAAATAGCCAAGGCCAACTGGGTTACAGGAAATGAAAAAAAAAAAAATGATTAAAAAAGGGAACACAATTCCGAACATAGAAAACTTCACAATTTGTTTTGAATAGCACGGAAAAGAGACTATGTCTTAAAACTTATGCATATAAAAAGATCTGAGTGGTAAATGATTATCATGTGATAATAATATTCAAGTGAAAATATTTTGATTCTGAGAAGCAATTCAAGAACTCATATTCCTTTGGACTATCCTCAATGGATCTATACAACATGGACTTATTATAAAGACAAGCAAAACAACCTTGACAGAAGTCCCCCAGCCAATAATCAGTGTCACACTGTCCTTCCAGCAGAGGCTGCAGGGATACATATCTGGGCGAAGACTTATATCATCCCGAGGCACATTGGTGATTCTCTGCTTTGAGGTGATGTCAAAAATCTTCACACCCTGGAAAATAAAACAATATTAAGTATTCTCTACTCAGGAGAAGAAAAGTAAAGGAAAATTTATTAACAGCCACCGCTACGCACCACCAATAACCAGCACTGCAAAATATTGACAGTGTATATTGAGCATGGCTGGGAGCCAGGCAAAGTAAAATGCTCCTGCTCCACATGACCCTGTGAGAACTTAAAAAGCAAACTTTTATGCTTCTTTCTGGACAAAAGAGATTTTATTAGTAGATGGTATCAGTGGCTCAAATACAATATGCGTGTGAAATGTACAAATGTTGACAACTGCATTTCTAAAATGACAGACAAGTAACATTTCTAATTGTATTGTTCCACTACAAAAATGAAGTTTGTTTTTAGAAACACTATGAAACTGAAAATCCACTAATAAAACTACAACTGACATTTAAAGTACTCAAATGAAAACATCAAGCAAGCAGTTAACTAAAAATAAACCAAGAGGTCACAAGTTTGTTTATCTTTACTGTGACCCAGGAAAAGTAAGAAAATTCCTGAATAGCAAGGTAGGTTCTGAGAGATCGCTAGCATTTAAAACAAATAGAGCTAATTTACTAAGTTATACCTTGAAATTCCAAAAGAAATTCCTTATGTCAAAAAGACAATTTTTAAATTTTCTACTCGCTCTAATTCATACTGAATAAACTTGAAATAAGTGGAGCACCAAAAAATTACAACCTACTTTTTAAAAGGCAGGACTATTTTTTGCCTGTGATTATACTGGGAGTAAAAACGAAATCAACAATATCCTGCACTTGTTTCATATCAACTGTTACTTGCCCTTGGCTAATAGGCAAATGGTATTTTCAAGACCACATTCCCAATGCAGCCTTTCAATTATTAAGACGGCTTTTCATTTTCTTGGCTATTCTCCACGCCTCAGGTTTCTTCCTCTAAAATAGAGTCTATGACATGTTGGGAATTACTCTATTAGGAAAGCTAAGAGCAATCTAATTTCTTTAACCTTCTAGGTATGATATCAATCGCCGTTTGTTTGTATATTTTAGAAATGACCACTGCAGCAAGTAGCATCTTTCCCGTTATTACAGCCCTCTCAGTTTGGCTATTCTTTTGGCTCTAATGAAGCATTAGGAAGATGGAGACGTGCTTTTACCATATTATTGGCCCAAGCAATCAGATGGCCTCTCCACTTCACACTCCTTATGTTCCCTTCCCCTTCATGCAGAACAGAAGACTTCCATCTGCTCATCCAAGATCGTTCAAACAGTAGCAACTAGGGATAAAGATCATAAAAACAGAATTTCAGAAACCAAGAAGCATATATTACCATCCTTACTATTTTTGTTTGGCCACTGACCAAATGACAAATAAGTTATTCTCAACACTTTTTATGCAGACTTATGTTAATACATAATTTGCATTTTGGAAAGAATTTCCACTACATTTTATCCCTCCCAAAACACTATTTAAAAATGCATTTGAGTGTTGAAGTTACTATAAAGCCAAGCCACAAGATGGCACCAAAATACCAAAATTCACGGAAAATAATGCACATTGAGACAGTCAGAAGATTTGTATCACAGAATGTTCTTCAAATGATGGTCCAGGAATTAATTTATTTTGTGAACTGGGAAATCAAAACCTCATAATTTCTTCTCTGAAAGTTAAGATATTAGTTATAGGTTAACCCACAATAATTAGAAGCAGTCTGTTTCTCATTTAACCCAAGAAAAATAATTTAACAATGACATTTAAGCAGTAATTAATGTCACAGAGAAATCTGCTTTAGGATTAAACTTCTTTAAAAAATTCAGAGTTGCTAGGTCTTTATTCTAAAGAGAAGATTCTAAATAAAAATATCTTCTGGATAAATTTTATTACCAAATATAACTGGTAAAAACCTCTATAACTGGTAAAAACCTCTATAACTGGTGAAGATATAGTCCTAGTAATTCACGAATTATGAAAGACACAATAAAATACTTTTTCTCCATATATCCAATTTAAATCCTTTAAGGTATTTATACAATAACAATTTAATATATACAAGATGTAATTTATACAATGTATAATGTATAATATAAAACTTCAGATATGTAATCCGGAAACATAAGTTTACCATTTAAAAGCGAATGCTGATGACAGATTCCGTAACAGAATTTTAAAAATCCCTATGATCAGAGTCGATTTCAGTTTACCTTAAGATATTCCGTGTCCCTTTGCAGCCTCCCAAAAGGGAGAAAATAATAGAACAAAGGAAGTAAATTCACATTTTACATATATTTTTAAAATATCTTTCTCAATATTTGGGCTCCTATAGTCAGAAGGAGCACAATAAAGAAAAAAAAACACACCTAAACTTAAACAATTGTCTATTTTCACAAATAAGCAGAGTACGGGCATTTTTAAATGTCCTAAGTGTTTGAAGTTCTCTATTATCATTGGAAAAGAAAGGTGGACTCACACAGTCCATAGTGGAGACTGGACATAGGATTTTTACCGAACATATGGAGTCCTACCTTCCCATTAGTTAGATATAGGGTGTCCTCTACATTCTCAAAGCCCTTCTAACACACCTCATCCACTCTCAGTCCAGGTTCTAGGGAAGAAATCACTACCACGTCTCCCTGCTTCCAGTTAGACACCCTTAGGTCTGTCCTCTATGATTCAGCCTCTCATTAAGAACCAAGGAGGTCACAGAATGTGTTCAGTATTTTGTGATAGGGTGGGTTTAAAGTCAGGGAAAGGAGAAGACAGGCTGAGAATACACCTCCTGCTATACACTCCACTAAAGATAGGTCGCTAAAAACAACTGTATTAAACATAAGGAATTGTTAAGATCGAAATGTTTAAATTCCATCTGTGGCCTGGATCAGGTGGAAGTGATTGTGGACTGGGTCCAGACGAAGCTCCACAACCACCTACTGGAAGGGATAGTGCGGCTAGATGGCCAGGAGGAAAGTGTGATGGAGCATGGCATCAAGTTCCTCTCCCTCACCAATTCCCACCCAGAAATGACTGATGTAGTATTAAAAGGGAACAATTTGCACCTGTGTTAGAAAAATTAAATATGCCTCAAATTATAAATTAAAAATTCTGTAAAACATGATACAAGTAAGATTCCAGTAAAGGCCACGATTCAACTCACTACAAGAAAAAGCCTGCCTGGGTAGTAGTTCGTGGGGTAGATACCAGAACCCACACACACTTAACATAGTGGGGACTGCAGGTCAGGGAGTCACCAGGAAAACCTCATTCAGGGTCACACAGGCTTTGGTCAGCATTGGTAGCTGATACCTGAGTAGCCACTCTTACTGTCACTTGGCAACACAGTTTAGAAGGAAAATAAGCATGCTAACAACTGGAAGGTGCCTATCAAGGGCAGTTGTGCCCATTCTGAGAGGTGGCAGTAACTGTACACACTTCGAGCTGCTTTAGTAAATATAGAAAGCAGACTTTAAAAAAAATATAGCACTTTCCTGGCTGCACCAATGATTACATTCTTTAGCAGCCATTTTTCCAACAGACAATCATGTTCCAATTTAGGCGAAAAAGAAAACATAAAACTCCCTTCTCTCACGATTGTCCAGAATAAAATATTTGGACAAGTTGTCACAAAATCTATGACAAATTCACAGCAACTTCAACTCTAGATACTGAATATAGACTTCTCCCAGCAAATAGGCACTAATAAGAGAGAAAAAAAATTAGCAATATGGGAAAATTAAGTATTTGAAAACTATATGACTTATCTAGGGAATAAATCTCCTACTCCTGACTTCAAAGGAATGAGACAGTCATAAAACAGAGAATTTTAAAAATAATTCTTCTTGTCCTCATGTGACAACAAAATTAAGCAAGAAATTAGTAACAATGGATAAGAAAAACAAAACAAAACAAAAAAACTGAAATCAAAATAAGTAAATAGTCTCTATCCTAAGCACTTTGAACATGAGAACACAAATACTACAAACTTAAACTTTAAGGGAGGCAATCAAAATTGTAAACAAGGGAAAGTCCATAGCTCTAAAGGTTAATGAACAAAAACAGATGTGCAGGTACTAGCTATATGACAAAAACAAAAAATATTTTACTGAGGGATATAAAGAGACCTAAATAAACAGAAAGTTACATTATGTGCCTGGATAATAAGACTCAAAATTTTCACTGAAGAGCTTAAGTCCTACTAAGTTAACCTATGATTTTAATGCAAGCTCAAAGAAAATCTCAAAGGAATTATTTCTAGAACTTCTAAAATGCTATAAATTCATTTTAAAATATGTAAGAATAACAGGATTTTTTTTTTTAATTAAGCAATCTGGGAGTATGGGATTGTGGATTTGCCCTGTCAGACAGTAAAACATTTTATAAAATTAACTCAAAATAGTATAGCAATGGTCCTAGAACTGACAGATAAAGAAAGAAGAAAAGAAAGAACTGACAAAGATGAATCAAAATGATAAGGTCAGACGTTGGGGTGGGGGTGGTGGTATGTGTGTGTGCACACGCGTGCGTGCATACAGGGAACAAGGCACCCTCAAACTACTGAACAGTAGTCTCACGACCTTTCTGGAGTATTCTTTAGCATTATGGACTCAAAGCTTTAAAAATGACTCCAGTAAGTCCACACCTAGAAATTCATTCCGAGAAATGATCAGACAAGTGAGTAAAGATGTATGTAAAGTTATTTATAACAGCCAGAGACAGACTAACAACCGGGGAATGACTGAATAAAATGTGGTAGAGTTAGACATATGAAGAATATATATCCATTTTTAAATGATTTTACATATGTATATTTATTAACATAAAAAGATGTCCAGATCATATTAAATAAAACAGCAGATTGCAAAACAGTACTAAATATGATGATCTTTAAATAAAATAGGAATGTGTATCCATATACAAAGGTTTGAAGATACATCACAAAGTAATAATAATTAGTACTAGAAACAGGTGATAGATTTTATATTATAATTATTCTGCAGGAAATGTGAATTCTTTTTATAATGTTTATACATATGGGGACAAAAATCCATTCCTTATTTTTACAGTCAGGATAATTTAGGGGAATAGTTGAAACAAACAATAAAACAATATCAAAAATTCTCTGAAACTTAAGGAATGTTTGAGGTATGTTGAATGTTTAGAATTCATATAAACTGTAACGATATTTTTAAAAAACATTAACTTTAGAAAATTGTTAATAAGTCTTCTTTCAATTCCAACCAAAATCCAAACTCACTCCCATCGAACCTTTCCGTTGTGGCTGGTGTGCTTCCGTAATGGGAGGAAGCTGAGGCCAGCTGGACCTTGGCCTCCCTTTGTCTCCTGCTCTAGCTACCAAGAAAACTTCCAGCAGAGGGCAGGGAAAAAAAGCAGCAGAGAACTCTCCTGAATTTAGTCCATTTCATGATAGTGTCCAAGTTTCCAGAGTTCTGTTCTAATAAATCTTGTGTACCCTGCTCTGATATGGAATCAAAGCAGCAAAGAAGCTTCTCTCTTAATATTTTTATAGTACAGAGGGCACACAACATTCTGTGCAACTGGATGCTCAAAATAAAAAAAATTTGGGGGGGGAGGCTAATATACTATCTTCTGTAAATGAAACAAATTTTAAGTAACATATTACAATTTTAGAGATGATTCATGTTATTTTCTCATGCTTTTCAAAAAGCAGTAGTTTCAATCACTTCACCTTTATGTTTATTTACTACAGATTAGGAACATCATCATTTAAAGAATTTTTTCATTAAGTCAAATAATTTCCCCCTAATTTCTTGGTTCTGTATATTTTTTAGGGTCACGCTGGTTCTATCAGGGTATAACAAAACTGAGATTCATGTATTTTTCTTTCATCTTCCAGACTGCAAATGCATTGGGAAAAGAGACCATATCTTACACTTTGCTAGATACACAAGGTATAATAAATAGCAGATACTGAGTGGGTTTTCCTAGGTCTACTAGTGCTATTCTTTTCTTCATTGTCCATGCATACAATGTGTTTGCTACAGGAGGAACTATGTAATTCCCCAAAACCCTCCAGTTACTCAGCCATTCTATAGTTAGTGATGTCTGGTGTGTCCATATTCTAGACATACTAGAATCTGCCCTAATCTCAAAAATTTAAAGAAGGTACTCTGTGACTATTCATATAATTAACATACACTCTTGCTTCGAGAAAGGGCTCACTTAATAATGACCCTACATCTTACCCCTGTCCTGAAATGTTGGTGTATTTTTTTTTGCTCAATGACAGAGGACATAATTTGT